GGGGTCTGTGGCTTGGGAATGAGGGGCAGGGAACTGCAGGTTGGCTGTAAGTGGTCTGCGGGTCAGGAGTGGGGGGCAGCAGCAGAGCTGGGGGGGAGGGCTGTGGCTTGGGAATGAGGGGCAACAATGAGCAGGGGCAGGGCACTGGCATGTCACTGACCCCCACAATCATATACCCCCTTCCTCCCCTGCCTGTAACAGGTTTCCTCTTTTTTGGAACTGGAAATATGGTAACCCTATGCAGAGGTATGGGACAAAGCAGGTCCTGGCATACGGGGGGCATGGGAACTGGGGAATCCCTAGCATCCTAGGTCTGCAAGCTGGGACTTGTGCTTCTGCATGAGGCATGGGTCAACATGGGTAGCATCATGGAAGCATGGGGCAGCAGGACCCACACTAACCCGTGTCACCCTAGGAGACTCATGGGGAGTCCTGTCACCCTGGTCACCTGGCAATAAGGATGATAGCACCTCCTGAAGCCTGAAAACTTCAAAGGATCTCAGGCAGCTCAACACCAGCTTCAGCTAGTTTTTGGGTTGCCCATGAGCCAGAACTTAGAAGCCCATCGGTGAGCCTATCTAGCCTGCAAGCCCTGTAAAGACCTGGGCATGGGGGGAAAAACTCCTATTGCCCCCTGGATGGAGATCATTGCAACTTTGCTGCTTTTCAGCTAGAGGGCTTTGAACATGTGACAGTCTAATTGCACTTCACTTTTTGTAATGCTACAAAAATAGTGTCTGGAGGGAGCCTTAGCCAGCTTGTGGCAGAGCCAGGAATGAGGAATCCAGCTCTCTTGATTGCCAGTCTTGTGTTATGTCAAGCTCCCTTCTGCTAAATATCAGGCAAACCTTTATAGAGATGACTAGGAAAAATATTCTGATTGCCTTACATTGCCCTGTAAAGACACCCTTCATTAATATTTTATGTGCAAAATATTTTCATAGTAGACCAGGCTTTTAGTTCATTCCCTGGGGTGTATTAACACATTTTCCAATATAGTACATCACATTGTGTACACAGAAAACTTAGAGTTTCCATAACAGTGTTTATATAGCATTTGCATCATCTGCTACTTTGAGTGCCTATTTGTATAGTAACCAACCTTATCAGGTCAGAAGGCTAAGCAATTATAGTAACAAATAAACCAATAACATACTCTACATGCAGTATCAGGAGGTATATAGTGGATTGCCACATGGATTTATTTCCTGATCCAGTCAGTGCTCAGGGAATTATCAGGAAGGTTCTGACCAACTTCAATGCATTTTACATCAGGCCTTTAGCTGCCTTCAGACTTTAAGACAAATCAAACAATCATGCTTCAAGTCACACACAGGACTGGTAGGGATGCCAGTGGAAATTCCATGTAGACACTAAGTGCAATATATAGCACTTACCTTTATTGTGTAATACAACTATTCTATCTTTAAAACAATACATTGCAAATAGCAGAACCATGACTCACTGAATCACTGATGCCAGCAGTGCCTCATGCAAAGGTGGATTCAATTTGAACCTCTCTCATTGGATTTCAAGTTTCATTAAAAAGGGAAAATGATAATTTTCTATGGGCACCACAGCAGCTGGTGTATGTGAAATCATGGATGTGCTCCTTGCATGCTGTTCCAGATTTTGTTGGCTGAATTGGGATGGGAGACAAGACTTCCACCATGCTGATGACTGGCTTTCTGGACTTGGGCAAGGGGCAGACCCTAAGGGAGCACTGAGGGGACTTTAAGTGCTTAAATCCAAAACTGCAATCCAATCTTCTCTGCTCAGTACCTGCCTAATCCTAGGAGTGCCTACAATTCACTCAGCCCCTTCGGCACCTGCAGTTGTCTTTCTTGTCATGCACAGAATTGTTCCAGTCTTGTATAACCCAGATCCAGAAATTAGGCAGAATGGCGCCAAACTCTTCTGAGGGCTTGCCTATCCCACATCAGCAGCACTCCAGGAGGACAGGACTGAACATGTTCAGCCCAGATGCTAGGGATGAGTCTGGAGCAGCCTCGCAGGTAAACTTCCAGCTTTGGAGGGCATCAGTAGACTTAGGCAGACAGGGCCTGGGTGAAACATGCTCAGGACCATGCTCCCTGCAGCCTAGTGCTGATGTGGTAATTGTAGTGATAGAAGCTATAATTTAAACACTTCCTTGCTTGGAAGACTACAGGGTTTGGAGGTTGCAAGATGGTCCCTCAGTTGCAGTAGTTAGAGACTAATGGATTGCAGCAGCTCATCTACTGCTCCACAGTAACACTTGCTTAGTTCTTCTCATTCACTGTTTACCTGTATTTATTGAACCTGATGATCACGACAGTAATGACAAGGTTTGAGGGGACTGACTCAAATGGCATTTTCTGAACACAGTGGCCACATGCTCGCAGGACCGGGCCTCATATAACAGACAATTTCAGTCACTTGTTTTTAAGGCAGGGCTGCATGTATTGGTGCTTTAATCTTTTCTGTGACTATTTAAGATAGCCTTTACTTTCAGAACTGTTTGCTTTTTAATTCAATGACAGTTTAATATACATTTAACGAGCAATCCTGGGGCCCAGTAAGTGCCTTAGCCACTAGGCTACAGAGTCAGTCTACATTTTGTCCTTAGTCTTTTGTCATATTGAATGAAATAGTTTGAATGTTTGTAAAGATTGCCCATTAGCCAGTTTCAGGAAGAAGATAGGATCTATCTCCTTATCTAGCTCATTGTTTCGGAGCTAGGTGTGAAATGTCCTGACTTCACTTAAAGTCTTAATCTAAATTGTATCTTTAGAAATTTTTTACAAAGAAAGTAAATATCCTAAATTCCGAGACATCAAAGCCTAAGGCCTTTTAACCAAATTGCTAAGAAAAGAGTATTTACAGTGATATGGAAGTCTCCCCAAGAATAATTTAAAAATGCTCAACAAAGGTAATTTCTGTTGAGTAAGATCCGAGCCCAAATTTGGGAGTTATGATGAATTGAGTAAGAGGAGCCCAATGACGGCAGCTCACTCAATAAAAACCTGTAACTTACTGTCCCAATTTGGAGGTGACTTCACTTGCAGAACAACGAAGGAAGAATCGCAAGTATAAGGTCAGATTAGATTGATCGCCTAATCAAGCCTCTCCGTGAACACGAATCTCTTAGTTCACGCTGAAGCTGCGGAGCGCCCGAAAGGGACTGAAGGAAGGGGACGTAGTCCTATCACTGGTGAGCCCAGCTCATTGAATCGTATTGCTGAGGCCAGCCTATTGAACCGTACTACTGAAGCCAACCCATTAAATTGTACTACTGAGGAATGAAACCATATTTTGGTATTTGGCTTCTCGGAATTCTAGGATTGTAAGTATATTATGAAAAATAACAGTATTGATTCAAATTTAACTTTTAGTTGTAATTGTAGTTGTTTTTGTAACACTAATTCTTATAGCATTGTTTGGGAAGGAAGTGCATTCGGAGCATTGTTTCTGATATATGCAATTATTGTGTTTTTAATGTTTGTGGTGTTTCTTAAAGCTAAGCAGTGTTATATACGTAGCAAAGAGTTTTAAAATAAAATTGTGTTGTATAAATTAAGTGTGTAATCATTGTGAAATCGTGCAATCAGCTAACTACTCCCCCAGCCAGTGCATCAAAACGAATCAGTAAATTGTGTGGGATTTTCTCTATTCCATAACCCACTAGAGACATCTTTCTGGCCACATTCCTTCTGCACAGTGCCACCTTTCAACAGGAAGGAGAAATGTGCTCCACTTAGCTCAGGATGTAGCTGGTGGTTGGGGTATTCCCTTGGGCTGCAAGATGTGGGTTTGATACTACCCCCTCCAACCCAGGAAAAAGAGAATCGAACCCAAGTTTCTGGCTTGCTTGGCAAATGCTCTCACTACTATATTACAGTAAAGGAGGAGCACCAGCATCTCCTCCAGTTGCATTTTAGAAGAAAAAAAGGGAGCTCTGCTTCATGCCTTTAAAGAGCAATTATAGGCACCTACCCTCATGGGAGAAATTGGGACTCTGGATCTCAAGTGAATGGAAGCACCTGGCAGCAGCCCTGGAAAGGGAAGTGGGGTTTCCAACTCACTTTTCAGCATAGCATTTCTGACTGCTCCTCCTCAGCATGTGCATAAGGAGCGTTAGTGCCGACATTTGGGGTTTGGAATCCACTCTGGGAAACTAGCACTTAAAAGTTATGTGTTGCACCATTTAACTTTCAGGTGCCCAAGTCCTTAATTGGCTCTAGCCCTTGAGTCTCTGCAGGGCTGATGCAACCACATACCGAGCCCCCTCTGAATTCATTTGGCCAGACTGCCCCTTTCCCTGTAATCTGTCAATTTAGCCCAGCCTACACTTGTAAGTAATAATTTGAGAGAGGATGCAAAGACAAGGTAAACAGGAGATGGAGCAGGTAGGAGAGAAAGGATCCAGAATCAGTGGAATATTGCATCTGTCTCTTGAATCACATTTTTCATTCTGCCGTGTGTGTGTGTATACATATGAAAGAAATGAAACCATCTGTGGCTGTATTTATTCATATAAAAAGTTAGGGGACTTTCATTGGCATAACAGATACATTATGTGAGATGTTAGAAGCGAACCTTAAAGCTAGACAAGGGATCAGATAGAAATAATGGATAACCTCTTGGTGCAGGCTGTCAGAAAATTGTTTTCATGTGTTAAGAAAAATTACCAAAGCATCTAATAGACAACTATTCCCATCAAAAGAGGAAAGAGATGAAGATAAAAACCAATAGTTTAGGTGACTTAATCATGATAACAACAACAATAACCATTCTATGACTGAGCCATGGATCAATTTGTGAAAGTTCCTAATTTATTTAGAATTGGCTGCCTAAATTCTAACAGGAAATTATTACAGCACGACTAAAATGGCTTCTTTCTCCAGGGTCAGCTTGGCAACAGAGAAATAAGCTGACCTCAGAGAGTGTTGTTGCACTAGCTGAAGAGGAAAGCATTAACAGGAAAATGTGGCAAGTCATAAACCTTAGATGCAGTTGAGAAGGAGAGAACATTTCTTCTGTATAAACTGACTGCAAATAGAACTAGAAAGAAATCCACAGAGATAAGGTCAAGGTCTCAGTCCTGCAACTTCCTTCATGCAAACAGACGGTCCCTTTGAAATCCCTCCCTCAGTGATGCTAGCAAAAGCTTTTTGGGCACTGACAGATGTGCAACTCCCTGCTGTAACTCGTGGCGCTTTGCAAGAAGAGCCATGAGTTACAGTGTCCCACTCCTGACCCAACAGACATTCACTGTTGGGAATGGGAGGGGTTGGGATTATTGAGCTCCAGTGTTGCACCCGAGCCTGAGCCCTGCCCACCCCCACCCCAGCTCTAGTTCTGTCTTCAGAATGGTGGGGGCGGGGGAGGGAATTCAGTGTGGGGTTTGCCAAACCAACACTGGAGGGTGGGGTGGGTAGATTGGAGCAACACCCCCACCCCCAACCTTGGAACACCTGACAGGAGTTAATGAAGGCACTCCACTTTGGAGCGCTTCACCTAAACCCTTGTGTAATGAGGGTTCAGATTGTCACGTGATTGGACACTTTTAAAGTGATCTGTAGCTATGTGCTTCTGTAAGGACATGTCTGTAGAGAACTTTCAAGGGGCCAATCACATGACAAATGTAACTTCTGTCTGCGCCCAAACCTTCCACCTCCCTCACTCAGCCCCCTATCTTTTCTCTGAGCCTACGTCTTTCTTATATCACATTCCAACCAGTTGGTCTGTTTCTTGTGTCCATTTCCTGACAGCAACAGCATTTTTCTCTCATACCCTTCACTTCCCTTATTCTCCTGATCACCTAGACATCTCTTTTTCTAACAAACACTTGTTTTATCTAGTTTTGAAAACAAGAATGAAGAAAAAACATTTAGAAACAACCCCACCCTGGACTTTTCCTGCTCCACTTGGCCTTCAAACTCTTGGAGTATATCACTGTTTTCTCTGCCTTGACCTCCTCTCACCTGCTTTATATCCCATAAAATATTATTTCCACTGCATCAGAACTGCTATGATGAACCTCATCAGTGACCCTCTCCACATGATTTGCTATGGAGGTCTCTCCCCTTCATTCATACTTTTCTAACTGGCTGCCACACTTGACACAATGAATTACTCATTGCTTTTCAGTGTTATCCCACAGCTTCAGCTTTCTTTTAATTCTGACTTAACTGCAAACCTGACAACATCTCCAGACAAATGAGAAGGTTGCATGGGATACTCTGTGGAAGAATGTAGTGGAAGAGAGAATTGAGGAAGGGGTCCAGAAAGGCACTGCTGGGGACTGTGGGAAGGTGGAGGTAAGAGAGCCTGTTTCTCCTGCACATGAGCCTCTCACATGCCTTTTCTTTTATTCACCTACCATATCCTTTTCTGTACCACACCTTTTTTGCAGGCAATGTTCGTCACTCCTTTTCTCTCCCCCTTTACCTTCAGGTCCTCTGCTCAGAGCACACATACCTCTTGAAGGCTTCTCAGTAACAACCTGACGACGGTGGAAACATATTGAAAGAACAAACAAAACACACGCCAACTATGCAGATGTTTTTTTCACGTAGCACTTTCTTAACATGCAAATCATAAGCTTTTGTACCGAGGGACAGACATACATGAGGGAAGACCCTAAAGATTTAAGCAAATGCATAAATCAAATTTCAATCCAGCCCAGGTTTCCTGTCTCCTAGTGTTGTGTCCATTCACAAGATGAGCTTGCAGAGGTTGCTTTTATCTTTTCTCTGTTGCAGAATATGAAAGGTTTGGTATGTGAGGAGAAGTCTGATTTATGCAATTGTGCACATGGATGCTGAACTATTGTTGCCAGTGGGATCTGTGTGGGCACTCAAACAAAAGAAAGACCAAACGAATAGTCTAAGATATGTTTTTATAGAAGAAATAGCCTTAGGAGAAAGGACAAGAAGTTGTGTCTTCAGAGCAGGGAGGAGGGGGAGTCCTGCTCACATCTTTTCAGAGGTACAGGAAAGGAGGAAGCCCAGTGCTCTCACACTGCAAATGAAACAAATGAAAACTCTGGTAGCTGAAAGTATCCATTATTTTAAACCTTAGCCCAGCAGTTTCTATAGTTCTCTCAGGTGTCTAGGAGGCATCTGTGTTTAACTGAAAGGATCTTAAGCAACCACTAAAATGAAACAAAACCATACAAGATGTTTTACAAAAATTAAAGGTTCCAGACTTACATTCACATGCTCAGACCCATCCATTGATGGGTTTCCACACATGTGGGCCTTATCAAATTTAATTACCTCTGTAATGACACCTCATAGAGGTATCATGGGCCAAAGGACAGAGCATTGACTTTGCAAGCAAAGAAGAAGACTGACTGAGTCAGGGCCAGTCTTGCTGAGGGGCAGACTATCCAGAACACAAACCAAGTTGGAGTCTCTATCAGGTAACCTTGCTGATCTCAGGGAACCTCTAGGACCAGGTGCACATCTTGCAGCCTGTGTGGGGGAGCAAGGGTGGAAAACCTGTAACCCCCAACAGAATTATTAGTGGGAAAATGTCATGAGCAGAGCCATGTGATTGTTTCCTCCCACTTAGCCCTATGCTATATGAAATTTTCCCATGATAGAAGCCAAGTGCACTGGTCTCCTTTGATATAGCACTTTTCATAAGGAGATCACCAAACATTTCAAATTTCCATTCTGCCTCACAATGCATAAGTGAACAAGAAAAGCACTACTATCCCTATTTTACTGATGGGGAAAGGTGCTTAAGTGATTTGCCTCAGGTCACACATGAAATCTGTGGCAGAGTAAGTAAACTAAACCAAAGTCTTCCATGTCCTAGGCAAGTGTCCTAAACACAGACTTATCCTTCTTACACTCACCTCCCTTTTAAAGTTTAAGAAGATTCTGTGGCCCATATATAATAAGTTGGTGGTTCCAGTCCAATTCTCACGGGAGGTGTCTACACACAGACCCCTTTTTCACAGCTGGTATTCATTTGTGCCTGGTTGGAAGTCTATACAGAAGTGGAAAGTTTCTTATTGGAAACCTCCAGAAAAAGACCAAGGAATGCACGGCTTGCGTGCTTCTGAAAAGGGTTTGATGGTAGAGCCATAGCTGACAGCCCGCTCCAATTGAAGATTAAGCTTAGACTGCCAAAGGGTTCCTTGAGTGATGCTGTTAAACCAGCTCCTTAAATGGAATAATCTGTACCAGCAAAAAGACTTTCTTGCCAGTATAATGGCATCTGTACTATGGTTTTCAAGAGTGTGATTTTTAATAACATAGCCACATTAGTAAAAGCCCCGTGTGAAAAGCAGTTATACCAGTATAACCATATTCATACTTCCCCAAACTATCACAAGATATAGTGCTCTAACTCAGTTAACACTGGAAGTTTTTGCTCATAGAACTATTCCAATATAACAGCACCAGCAAACCCCCCCTTCACCCCAACCATTGGAGCTGTGATAGCAGCCTGTGTAGGTAATACCAGAGTCAGCTCTGATCAAGCAAACTTAGGTACCCAATAGCAGTGAACCCACAGTGGTACAAGCTGTATGGTAGTCCCCTCTGCAGATCTCCATGGGCTGGGCAGCCTATGACACCATAGCTTCATTGCTATGGGTGATTGGGCTCATTAGGACATATCTACTTTGGCTATGGGTACATGAGCCATTATCATGCCTCTGACAGTAGTGTATATAAGGCTTAGTGAACTCTGTGATCCTCCCCCCAGAACAAGTGTAAAATAACATGGAGCAAGCAGGGAAACTGCTGTACATGCATGATTTCTGGTCTCTGCAGAGTATATCTCATTCTTCAGAGCTTATCAAACCAGTACTATTTTTGCTATTTTGTAAGCAACTAGATGTTTTGTCTCCTTGGTATTTTAAGAGAACTGAGATTTAAGGCATATTAAAGATGTTTTTTGCCAGGTGTGACAGTCCTATGCACAGAATGCCAGCAAGGAGCAGTCCACTGAAGAACAAACAGAATGATGGTGTTTGAAACTCCCTTAGCTACAGCAAAACCTTTGTTTGACTTCTCATGCAATAGAGTGACAAGGGGAAATATTAGGTGTGGCTGATCTAGACTAAGGAAGCTATTGCAAAATCTTCCTTTAGTTCGCATCCTAGGGGTCTGGATGGCAGATGTCAGGAAAGATGCAGAACATGTTCTTTTTCTTCATTTTGTTAGGAAGAATAGCTGGTAAGAACACACCTGCCTGGTATCGTTTTTCTTATGGGTATTTTATATATGTATATATTTTTGATCAGCAATCTTGATTAAACAAATTAGAGTTATAGGTCAATGTACTTCAGTAAGAAAACAACTATGGAGTTGTACAATGGACATAGAATTTGGCTTACTGTGATGAATTAAGTGCCAATATAGTAATACTCTGGGTCAGAATACAATATCCACTGTTCCATATCAGAGTTTGGGGGTGGGAGAAGAGGCGAGTTCTCAAAGAAGCAAGACTAGTTTACTTAGCTGCAGACTTCTTTTTTGTATATGTGCTCTGGAAGCATTAAGTTTTAGAGTACATCAGAATTAGTTTGAAGGAGTTGTTAAAATTCTATTACCTCGGCCAATGCTTATGACAATTTTTGAGGTATGGAATCATCCTGCAAAGAAATTTATGGGGTTAACCTTGTATTTGTGGTTGCATTTTGCACAAGTGTGTATGACTGCACAAGGTGCAAGTCAGATAAAGGTACAGCTAAGAGAATTGAGGTATTGTGTACAGCTGAAAGTGAGGTTGGATTAAAGAGTGAATTGAAAATGAAATATCTATTTGTAAATTACACCATGTGTGGACCTACTCTTATTCTAAACTAGCAAGTATCTTATTCCTGTTTAGCTTACTCATTTTCAAATAGATATTCCCAATTTTTTTAGTAACAGTATGTACAGACAAGCCCTGTGCTTTTTTTTCAGATTAATATCAGCAATAAGTTTAACCGTATCATTTAGTCAAACAAAAGGCATGAATATAGTGAGCACAACAGGTTTGCAAATTAACAAACTTGCTAAAAAATATGCTGCTGGCTCCATGTGTTTTTGCCTGTGTGGCTCTTAATAACTTAAGGTGCAGACAGGAGTGACAATTTTTGCCTGAATTGACCCCTGAAAGTTCTCTGCAACCATGACCTAACATAAGTGCATGGCTGCAGAGTGCTTTAAAAGGGCCCGATTTCACAAGGGTTCAGATGAAGGCACTCCAAAATAGAGCACCTTCATTAACTTCCATCTGCACACACTGGGCACATCCACACTGCAAGCACGTGCACTTGCAGGAGCTCAAATAGAAGCAGTGCAAATTTGAGCCAGGGCCTTTTGCTTCAGCGCACATGCTCGGACATGCACTTTGTTGTGGATCAAATTGTGCCACTTGGGGCAAAATAACCCTGCCTGGCTCCTCCCAGATCTGCAGCCAGGGGGAGCTAGAGCCCAGGGCCAGCACCTGTGCTGTCCCCAGCAGTATAAAAAGCTGCCCTGTCCTGGCCCCAGCAGTACAAAACCCTGCCCTGGCCAGCAGCTCAGGGTTATTTGACTTCAGGAGCTTCGTTGTTTCATTTTAATCACAGAAAAAAAATCTATATAATAGTGGTATTTCATTTTAATCACAGAAAAATTTTGCGTTACTTTTTTTTAAACCAAAAATTAGGGATTTAAAAAAAATCAGAGATAACCAGGATCCCTGGTTATTAGCAGTATTTTTTGCTTGGTGCCTGTCACTGATAAGCAGGTTGTATCCACATTGCAATTGCTGGTGTCAATGCACTATGTGCAAATTAGTTTTAATCTAGCCAGTTCAGGTAGCAGACAGTGAATATGGTTGTGTCCAGTGAACCCTGGGGCACAAGGAGGCTTATGTAGCCTACCATAAAGACCCTGCTGCCAGATCTTCAATGCTATTGGTTACCAAGCTACCTAGAATGAAACAAAAGTCTTTCCTCTCTCCTGTTGCCTAAGAAAAAGTGTTCCGGCCAGCTACTGACTCCAAAAAACACGTATCTATCAGGAATACTAATTCACTTCTTTTAAAGGAAACTCTCAGAACAGACAGCACTACAATAAAAGACAGTGGATTAGACATATTTTTGTATATCATTGGGCACGACCACACATGCAAGCACATGCGCTTGCAGCGGCTCAAATAGAAGCGGTGCAAATTTGAGCCGGGGCTTTTTGCCTCAACGCACGTGCTTGGACATGAACTTTGTTGTGGAGCAAATTGTGCCACTTGGGGCGAAATAACCCTGCCTGGCTCCTCCCAGATCTGCAGCCAGGGGGCGCTAGAGTCTGGGGCCAGCACCTGTGCTGCCCTGTCCTGGCCCCATCTGTACAAAAAGCTGCCCTGGAAAGAAGCTCAGGGCTACTCACTCTCTGGAGCTTCTGGGGCTCGGCAACATGGTACCGGGGGACACTACCCCTTGTGCCAGTTGGACTGCTGCAGCAGCATCCCAAATCCATTTTTAAAAATATCCCAAAGTCCATGTTTTTCCACAATTAACACAAAAAGACCACTCCATAAACACACATACACACACACATCTAGACAGAGAGAGAGACAGCAATCAGTTGGGTAATGCTTTATTGGTATATTTACAATGTTAAAGCAATGTGGAAGCCTACCAGTGTCTCTATCATCATGATAAAATAAATTCTAAATGCCTATATGTGTTGATGCTGGGGTGTCCGCGGGGTTTTGGGGGCTTGGTGGGGGGGCTTCTCAGGAGGGGTGAGTCCCCTGGCCCCCACAGCACATGCAATGCCCCCCCCACCCCCCAGGGCCCCAGCTCCCCTCTGGAGGGCCACAGCTCCTATCCCTCACAGGGACCCAGCCCCCCCGCCCAGGGCCCATAACTTAGCTTTAGCAGCAGCAGTGGGAGTGGGGTGCTCTGAGCCATGGTGGCAAGACCCAGCGTGGCATGCGGGGACCGTGCGCTGGGCTCAGCCGGGTCCTGCTGGCCCTGGGGACTGTCTGCCGCCCAGCCGGGCCAGGCCCTTGCTGGCAGGACCTGCCGCCTTCAGTGCCCCTCTGCTGACCAGCTGGGCTGGGCCCTTCCTGGCAGGACCCGGCACGGCGTGCGAGGACCGAGTGCCAGGCCCTGCTGGGTCCTGCCGGCTCTGGGGTCCCTCTGCCACCCGGCTGGGCCAGACCCTTGGTGGCAGGACCCAGCGCGGCATGCGGTCACCTCGTGCCAGACCCAGCCGGGTCCTGCTGGCCCTCGGGGCCCCTCTGACACCTGGCCAGGCCAGGCCCAGGGTGGCAGGACCCGGTGTGGCACGCAGGGACCATGTGCTGTGCCAGGTCCTGCTGCCCTGGGCCTGGCCTGGCTGGGAGGCACAGGGGCCCTGAGGGCGGCAGGGCCTGGCTGGGCAGGGATTGGGGGGGGGCCTGGGGGACTGGTGGGAGGAGGGTCCAGGCAGGGCTGGGGAGGGGCTGGGGGAGCAGGTGGGGCCATAGGGGGTCCCCCCCCCAAGGTCCCCTCCTCCAGCCCTTCCGACCCCTTACTGACCATCACTGGAGCCCTGGTGTTGAACGTGCAGCCTGGCCGGCCACAGGTTTCATCTCCAGGGTGAGGGGCCAACCATGGAGACGCTCTGGCAGCCAGAGCATCTCCCTGGAGGACCTAGCCTCCAGTTGCCTCAGGGCATGGTCCCAGACCATACCCTGACCTGCTTTTTTTTGTTTCCTTTTTTTTAGACCTCTGGATATGCAGGGATCTAATTTTCTCCCTGCGTTGCAAGTTTGGGGTTTGAGGTGGGGCAAGAGGCACGTGCCTGCTCGTCTGGACGCGCTCATTGAAAGCAACGTCCTATAACCTAAGGCCACAGAATTTCATCCAGATTTTCTGTATTTCATTCTATAACTTGTATTTCACTAAAGCAAATCTTCTAGAAAGAAATCCAGTTTTTTGCGGGATCAGGCCCTTTATTTATTTATTTTTTCATAGATTTCATAGACATCAGGGCTGGAAGGGACTTCGGAAGATCATCGAGTCCAGCCCCCCGCCCAAAGGGCAGGAAGTCAGCTGGGGTCATAGGATCAAATGATCCTATGACCCCAGCATCCTATAGCAGTCTGCAGCTGTGCCTTTCTGTTTAGTCACAGCTGTAGACTGCTTTCTGCAGTCAGGTCAGGCAAAAACTGCCATTTCTGTCCGTGCCATTTATGTACCTATACAAGGACCAAAAATAAGCTATCCCTAAGCGACTATAAATTTTGTCTGGAGAAAGACTACAGGGGAATCAAGTCTTCAGAGAGTATGGAATCAGTTTTACCAGGACTCCTTTAAATTTCCCTAGACAGCACTGGAACTGACTTCTTGCCCTACAGAATATAGATTCTGCCTTGGAGCATATACTGAGCAAGGCAAAAGTGAGGCTAGGCCTGAAGCTATTGCAAGGTGAAAAAGGTTGACTTTGAGGGGATAACAGATTTTAGTTTTGAAGTGATAAAACTAAAGTTTCATACACTAATGAAGAGCTCAAAAGCTAGAGGACATCAGTGGAAATAGCTGTGAAAAAAATTCTCTGTTCTACAACAGCTTTACACTCAGAATCTCTCCCTTGTGCCAATGCTGTCCTGCCAAAATGTAAACGGTATTTCCTCAAAACCTTTGCATGCCAGTTAGCCAGATCTGTCCCCTCTACTGCTGGAGTGGTGCTAGTTGGTGCCTGGGAAGATCAGGCATGTTCTGACTATATGAGATGGATGGAGTAGTAGATCTCCCCTAGAGTACAGAGGGAATAATAAGGAACAGATTCATTCCCAGTATTAGCTGTTCAGACACCAGGCTCGGCACAGTCACATACAGGCAGTGGTGAGTATCAAGATCAGCAGAGTTAGCCCTTTCTTCTCTCTTCCTTATGCCTGCTATAGTGGCAGTCCAAAGAGTATGAGGACCACATGGGCCAGCTGCTACAACAACTGTGTGCACTTGTAGCATGGCAACTACCTGAATCAGAAAACAGCTGGGTCCCTTTAGCCTCAGAGGAAGAATACTAACAGTATTTGGGCTTTTTTGTGGTCATATTTCTCCACTACCATCACCACCAACATAATTGATTCTTGCATTAGTGTAACTAGGGGTGGGTGAGCAGCGCACCAGCCCTGGGGCACTGATTCGGAGGGGGCAGCAGAATGGCAGTCCCCAAAAAGCCACTGTGACAGCAACCTGTGTTCTGGGAGCTCACACCAAAGCAGCAGCCGCAACAGCCCATGCCACAGCTGCTGCAACTGTAGCAGCCCCTGTGCGAGGGGATAAGAGCTCAGCACTTTCCTAATCTGCCTAGGCCACTAGCATTGAGTTATGCTTCTGGATTCCTGCCTCTCAAATTCCCATTGCTGCACACGGAATCAGCTCATAAATTTGGGTTTATGAAAATGCTTATTTTGGAATAAAGCATAAAATTAATAGATTAATAAGAAAGCACACAAGGACTTCTGGGCCTCCTCTCCAGCCTCCCGCTGCAGAGACTTAGATGTTCCATGCAGGCTGCTTCCTATATCAGCAGCAGCGTAGCTGTGTTCATATTGTAGGTTGGGCAGGCTACTGCTGAGTGACCATGCCAGCTAGCCCACTCCATGTGCTAGACAGCCTGCCTGTACTGAAACAGCTGCACTACTTGTTTAAGAGGCAGCCTGTGTGGAGCAGCACAGCATGCCTGAGGGCAGTGTTGCTGGGCATAGTAAATATTCTGAACAAACATGGCTTTGTAGTCCCACTGCTCGTTCCTTTCCACTCTAGCAATCCTTTTCAATTGATTTCCTGGACTCTTCTCCACAATCTTAAGGGCCTATAGATTTTTATGACATGGGGAAGGGGAAAAGAAGGGGGAAAAAGACAAAAATATAACCTGAAATTCTGCTGTCCGCTGACTCTCTACTAACCAGGGGCTCACACTGGGCCCTTCTAGATCGCCAATCCTTGCATGGCCATGGATGGCCTGTGGTGGCTGCCTCTATTTTGGCCAGCACCAAGGAATGAAGGACCTCTAAAGCTAAAAGCAGGAGTCTCTGCAGAATGAGCCATGCTGTCATGTCAAGAGCCATTAGACATCTACAGTGAATCAAGTGCCAAGGCACATGTGGCACTCACTAGCAGGTTTCCCTGTCTTAGGACAAACAATTCAAATGCAAAAGCACTTATCTCCAAGCAGTACTCAACTATTCTTCTTCCTTCCATTAGGGCCAGCACTGGGTGAGGTTTTCATAGCCCTTCCTCCTCTGTCTTCCAGTCACCAGACTTGCAGTCTTCAGGGCCAGGTTTCCTTTTCTTTCTAATTATCAAGCTTATTGCCCTGGCCTGCCTCTCTACCACCTACACCTGCTGCCTGTCTCTCCTGTCAACAGGCTTACCACTTCACAGCTAGCCTCCCTGTAGCACTGCACTCACTCACTTCTAGTAGTAGGGGTAGGGGCTCGGGCTCCCTGCTAGAACCTTATGAGCATATATTAACTATCTATTCCCCTGGCATTGCAGTGGCAAGACATTGGCACTATCCTCATCTCTCCTGCTTTTAACTTATGACATGGCGTAGTGTGCTTGGAGTTTCTGGGGCCTTATTGAGAAGAAGATATTGAGAACCCCTGGGATAAATACTTGCCTGAAAATTTGTTACTGGAGCTGATGGCCAAGGGGGCCAGTCCTTCATTTCAGTCAGCTGCTGGTTGCAGGTCACTTCATTAGGAGACAAAATATGAACTTGGAATCTAAGTATATGAACTTTTAAGGGGAAAAAAACAACCCCCTGCATCCCACCCCCCAAATCTCCCCCAAAACCTAACCCAGGTAGTGGATCCAAATTGCTTACAATGTAATACCAACGAATCACAATGCACTCACCTTACCAGGGGTTGAGAGCACTCAGCCTTCCAGGTGGTGCTGATTAGCATGTTGCAGAATTAGCCTTACCTTTCTTGATTTAATTTACAAGGCACATTGGAAAAAGTGGTAAAGGAGAAAGGAAGAAAACATGGCCTGTTGAGAGCAGAATTGACAAAGCAACTGGGATGACTTTTTTTTAACCACACATGCTTGTTTCACTTAATTTATTTTTGTTGTGATTCATGTGGAGAAGTGATAGATAGTGCTGCAGTGGTGATTGGTTGTGTGATGGAAACAGCTTATGTTTCCTAGCTGTTGCATGAATGAAAGCAATGCAATAATGAAACTACATTAAACATCAATCCTTTTTAATGAAAGTACTGCATTACTTAAGTATAAAATAAATGGTTTGATTTCCCTGTCACTTGCAGAGCTTCTATAGCAGTGTAATGCAACGATTCACTACAGCTGAAGTAGGAAGAGCACCAGCCCGCTGGTGTTCAGCAATGATAGTGCTCAGTACAAGATAAATGCTTTTATGCTGCTGACTACTCACAGAAGTAATTCCATATTCCTTTTCAAATTTGCAGGAGGAAGCACTCTGTCGCTTGAAAACTTACCAGCTACAGGCAACATTACAGAAAATTCTCCAGCCAATGCTTTGGTTTATGTGTTCAGTGTAAAGTTGTCACCATCTTGTGCAGAAGTAGCTGTAGGATATCCTATCATAATAAATTCAAATCCACTTACAGATGCTTTTCAGATTGTTCCTGAAAGTAAACTTGTATACAGGGTGAGTTTTCAGACCATGTATAGCAATGTATAGGCCATGAAGGCTGACACTGGATTACTGAGAGCTGCTATCTGGATAGAAGAGAGTCACTTCCCTTTTAATCATTAAAAAAAAAAAAACAGCTGAAAAAGCAGATCAAGTTACCTATTACAATAAGTTTAAAATTTATGGCACATGATGTGCTTCTAGGGTACAGGGTGGAAATCAACATTTGTTCCCAAGTAAACTAAACTAAGCTGAAGTAAGGCCCTTTAATTATGAATGAGTTCATGCTAGGGTATAATGTAGTTTTGATTAATCTACTTCTAAAATTTGTTTGAATTAATTTTCTTGTGTCTCCAAGGATCATGATATTGTGAAATCAGATTCAGGCTCCACTGAAACCAATGTGGGTACTATTTTAGAACCTAACTAACACACATTAATGGGCTGGAACCACAGCCCTATGTAATCATAGAGTCATATAAAAATAGAGGTGAAAGGGACCTCAAGAGATCATCCAGTCCAGGGTTGTTAAACTCATCTGGCCCCATGGGCTGGATGAGTGGTAGAGAGCTGGTCCATGGGCTGTGTGAATGGCATGTGGCTGGTCCCATGGGCTGGATAAAGTTCATGGAGCTGCAACCCCCTTCCCCCATGCTGGATCCAATGCATGCAGCACCCATGTAGGACCATTCCAGGATCCATAATGCACATAGCACTCACCTCGGAGCAGCTAAGGGTGGGCGGGGGGAGGCACAACGTGCAGCATGGGTCCCAGAGTGGCTGAAGCAGGCACCATGTATGATATATACTCCGGGCCCTGCACGTGGGGCTGGTTTGGTGTTTACTGTGTGCTGCATGTTGGTCCACTCTGAACACAGAAGCAGCACCAAGGGCTGGATTATGGGGCTCCACAGGCCAAATCTGGTCTGTGATTTATACCTTTGATACCTATGATCTAGTCCAATCATAGTTCAAGGCAGAATCAACTCTGTCAAGTGTTTGTCTACCCTGCTTTTAGTCTTCAGCACTGGGATTTCTTTTGGGTGGCCTCAGAGGACTTCAGGACCACCCTTCTAGCTACCACAGCAACAGTAAAGAGTCAAAAGCAACAATAATAATTAAAAAATAAAATAAAAAAAAATGCTCAGTCCTTTACTTCACCAACAGGCTGTCATCCTCCCTGATCAACCTCATCCTTTCCCTTTACTGGACAGAGCTCTCTTCTCAGGACAGCATGGTCTTACCATCCTCACTTAGTTCAATGATCTTATCCCATTCTTTCATCCCTACCAGGATACACAGGACTCTGCCTTCACTTTCACACTACTTAACTAAGCGCCATAACAGAAATCTTACACCTTTCAACTATAGACCCAATCCTGAAATCCTCAATACTTCTGAATCCAAAAATTGCTTCCTATGAGTACTTCCTGCTCTCCCATCATCCAAAGAGCCAGTCACTGCTTCATAGAAGGAAATCAGGTTGGTCAGGTTGACTTTCTCTTGGTGAATCCATGCTTGCTGTTCTTGATCACCCCAGGTGATTCAAAATAGCTTGACTGATCTGTAATTCTCCAGAACCTCTTTCTTCCGTTTTAAAGATGGGCACTATATTTGCCCTTTTTCAATCAGCTTGTGCAACAGTGCCCTTGTACAGCTCCATGGGTGGCATCAGTGGATGCACCGCACTGACACTGGCACAGTGGTAGCGATACTGGAAATGCAGTTGCTCCTGTTTTTGGATGCCTCCCCCCGTCCCCGTCCCCTGCCCGGGGTTGCCACCTGGGGCCAATAACCCATTTGCCTCCCCTTCATTACACTATTGTCCAGGACTTCACCTGATCTCCATGAGTTCTCAAAAGTATACCCCATGGTTCTGAAATTACCTCAACCAATTTCTTCAGTACTGCAGGGTGCATCCCATCCAGCCCAGACAACTTGAAAGCATCTAGTTTGTTTAAGTAAAACCCTAAAGTATTCTTTCACTACTCCAGGCTGTGTATCTCCTTCCCTCTCTTTGCTATCAACTGTGCTCATCATCTGACAGATGGCTTTATTCATGAAGACTGAAGTAAAAAAAATCATTGATACTTTAGCCTTTTCTACATCATCAATAAGTAAGCTGACTTTTGCATTCACTAAGGGACCTACATTTTCTTTGGTCTTCCTCTTACTTCTGACATACTTGTGGAATCCCTTTTATTGCCTTTTATAACCTTTGCCAGTTGCATCTCAAATCGTGCCTTGGTCTTCTTGATTTTCTCCCTGCGTGCCAGTGCAATATTTTTATAGTCTTCCTTAGTAAAATGGCCAAGTTTACACTTTTTGTAGTTTTCCTTTTTGAGTTTCATTGAGGAGATTGCTGCTTAGGCAGGCCAGTTTCCTGTTGCAATTCCCACTCTTTGTTGCATCTGAACAGCTTGTTCCTTCACCCTTAATAGGACCTCCTTAAAGTACAGTCATCTCTCCCAGACTCCTTTCCCCTCAGACCTGCCTCCCAGGGGATCCTGCCTACCTTTTCCCTGAGTTTATTAAAGTCTGATTTTTTTTAAGTCCAGGGTCTTTATTCTGCTGCCCTTAGGATCTTGAACTCTATCATATAATGGTCATTATCACACAAGTTACCTTCTACTTTCATATTCTCTAACCAGTTCCTCCTGTGTACTGCTGTTTCCCCTCTAGCAGATGTCATGGTTATTAAAGAGAATCATGAGAACCAGGTCCTGGGATTTAGAAGTTTTCATCAGTTGTTTAAAGAAGGCCTTGTCCACCTCCTCTTCCTGGTTTGGTAGCCTGTAGCACATGCCCACCATGACATCCCCCTGTGGCTGTTCCCTCTGACTTTTACCCAGAAGTTTTCAACAGACCTACCTTTCAGTTCATATTGCACCTCAGAACACATGATCATCTCTTTTATATATCAGACAACACCTCTTCCTTTTTCTCCTACCTGTCTTTCCTGAACAAATTATACTGATTCATGACAGTACTGCAGTCATGTGAACTATCCCACCACAGGTCTGTAATCCCTTAGATCATAATTCTGAGAATGTACTAGGATTGCTAGTTCTTCCTGTTTACTCCCCATGCCTTAGTATATAAACATTTTAGATAACTGATTGTCCTGTTTTCTCCATAGGCACATTGCCAGAGCTTTTACTATTGCATCTCCTTATTGGGTTTTTTTTCAGGTTCTCTAGCTCAGGGCTGGCCAGAGTTACTCACCCTGGGAGCCACACCTGATCCCCTGTGGAAGTTCAAGAGCCAGAGAGTGGGGGGGGCAGGGGCGGTGCTGAATGATCCAGAGTGGGACAGGGCAGGTGCTGAGCAACCTGGAGCTGCTCCAGCTTCCCAGCAGGGAGTGCAGACTGGGGTAAGCAGTGCAGCTGCAGCTGCTGCCCTGGCAGCCTAGTGCCTGAGATAGCAGTCCTGGGAGAAATAGGCGGGGCTTCGGCCAATTTTTGGCAAGCCACACATACAGTGCTGGAGAGCCACATGTGGCTCCCGAGCCACTGTTTGGCCACCTCTGCTCTACCTCTTTACTTACCTCTTGACTTTTTTCTCCATTCCCTGTTGAACTTAATTTAAATTCCTCCTTCTTCATCACTCTTCATTCATCTGACAGTCTTCATCAGATGGACCCCATCTTTTCCTAGTAATCCTTCTTTTTGCAACAGTACCCTATGGGTGAAGAAACCAAAGCCTTTCTGGAGATATCATCTATGCAGCCCCATGTTGATCTCCAGGATGCACCTGCTACTACACAGGCCTTTACCCTTGACTAGAAGGATCAATGAGAACACCACATGGAATCCGTATACTTTATCATTGTTTCCAAAGCCATGTACTCACTTTTTATCTGCTCAAGGTTGCCCCTGGCAGTATCATTAGTAGTCAGAAGGACAAATGAATGTTTACAACCTTCCTGTGACATCTTGGAGATGGGCTCCTGGCAGGCAGCAGACCTGCTGAGCCAACAGGTCAGGCCAGCAGATGGATGCACTTGTGCCCTGCAGGAAGGAGTCACCAGGCACCACCAACTGTTGCAGTGGCAACGCACAGGGGGTGAACAGGGGTGCATGTGCACCCCCTGAGAGCTCTGGTGTACCCCCTGACTGGCTGCACGTGCCACTCAGATGGGCAGGGGGGCAGGTGGGAGCGCTGGTTCCCACCCTGCGAGTGCCGGCCAGGGAGTGGAAGCGCCCCCTGGTTGGCAAGATTGGCCATGGGGGGAACCTCCCCCGGTCAGTGACTGGTCACTGGGGGGGGCACCAATTGCTCATGACCTGTTGTTTTCTTTTGGTGGCAGTGGTCTCAGTCCTCCCACACCTTGGGGTTTGTGGCTTGGCCTCTACTGCTGCTGGAGGAGATTCCTCCTTATCTGACATCAGGGCTTTGAGGACCTGTTCTTCACCTGAACTGCCGCAAGTTCAGAGGAGGAGTTCTGTCTAGTGCCAGAAGTAAGAAGCTACCAGCTTCCACCTTCCTACCTGAGTCTTTTTTGTCTTCCAATGCCTTCTTGGCCTATTCCTCTTCCATGATACTCTAAGTCTCTTTGTGCATCAACATGATAAAGACCTGATGATCATGGATGCTTCTGAGCCTAGCCACCTTCCCTTAAAGCTCCCTTACCTGAGTCCTGAGAGAATCCATCAGAAGGCCTCTCTCATACTGCAAACACCCCCTGAACCTGGATTGTCTTTAGTAGGGATAGTCAGGTTTCAGTCTTTGCAATGCCAGGCCATGATCTGGGATTGTGGTTTGGTGGCTGGTACTTCATTTGGACAGAGCTCGCATGAGTACAGGCAGAGGAAGACCTGGCAGTGGCAGGAGCTTTAGCACTTCAACATCTTCCACCCATCCAGTTGACACTTTTGTTAGCTACTTCTTCCTCTTCTGCTGCTATTTGCTGAAAAATCCCTCTTTCTCCTTTGTCTTAGTAGCAGTCTTCAACTACCTGAAGAGGGGTTCAAAAGCGGATGGGGCTAGACTGTTCACAGTGGTGGATAATGACAGAACAAGGAGTAACGGCATGAGTGTCTGGTTTCTGGTCTGACACCAGTCAGCAACTGGGGGGGGAGGGGGGATCCCCCTCGCAGCTGATCTCACTCACTGTAGTGGCCACTTCCAGAAGCGGCACAGCTGCTTTTGCTGGTGGCCTTGCTCCCTGGCCAGCGCTTGCAGGGGGGGCATTGGTGCACGTGCATCCCCTTGCACTTCCTACGCGTTGTGTCTGAGCAATGGTCTCACCTTGCAGCAAGGGAAGTTTAGGTTAGATATTAGGAAGAATTTTTTCACTTGGAAGGTAGTAAAACACTGGAACAGGTTACCCAGAAAGGTGGTAGAAGCTCCATCCTTGCAGGCTTTCAAAACCCGGTAGACAAAGCTTTGGCTGGGATGATCTAGTTGGAGATGGTCCTGTTTGAGAAGGGGTTTGGACTAGATGATCTCCTGAGGTCCCTTCTAGCCCTAATTCTCTATTATGTGTTTGCTATTTATTTACACAGAGGAAGGTATAGAGTACTCTTGTAATGCCATAATCATGTGGCACATTTCTTCCTGGCAGTACTCTGTTAATTCCTGCCCACACCCATTCTGCACGAGGAATTACTGCTTGGCTTGGCTAGACCTAACACATTCCACCACGTAGCAGGCCTTTATAGTGGAGACCGGAGACTACATCTCACCACTAGAGAAAGACAGCCATTTAGGTACTTCTACTCTCTTTTCTCAGAAGGCCTTACTTCCACTTTGCAGTTACATGACACCTCTTCATCTCCTAAACACCTGCCCTTAAAAAGGGCCAGAAATCAGAGCAACTTTGTGCATGCTATCCTTGGAGGGGCAGTCAGTTCCTGGAGGGGACAACTGTTTCAAGACTCTTTTCCTTCTGATCTGTCCCCTGTGCATGAGATTCACATCCACAAGCACAGTGTCTTGTCTTTCCACTCCCTCATTCTGCTATGGAACCTACAAGAATGTTGCCAATTAAGGTTTTTTCCCTTATTTATTCTATGATGAATATTTTAATTCCACTAAAACCAAGTGGCTCCATCAGGTTGTGCACAAGCCTTGCAGATTATCTATTCAAACTTAATTGATTATTACAATTCTTTCTTTTCTTCTCCTTCATAATATCTTATTTCCCACCTAGTTGTGTCATGTCCAAGATCAGTTTACATGCTCCTCAGTTTACAAACTCCTCAGGGGCTTTGTACTTTGTCTTATTTGGGAAGTGACCAGCATGTTGCAGATGCCATTAAAATAATGAGGACATTCCCAAGGAGTGGGACTTATTTATTCAACTGATTACAGGCACCAACAGAAGACTCAAACCTAAGACAATATGAAACATACTACCATATCACTGTAATCTCTCTCGCAGTTTTTACAGGCCTAGTTCATATTAAGTTAATCTTTTCCTTTTCTTGCTGGTCTCTGGCATGTCCTAAAGAAAAAATTGGGGGAAGAATACACCTTATAATACATGGCATTTTACTTAAAAGTACCCAGACCCTTGTACAATTCTATGGAGTGCAGCAAATTAAACATAATAAAAAGTCTACTCATTGCTTACCAAAGTAGAATGTCCTTTTACCTACTTATCTGTCCATTCACACTGTAAAGTGTGCTAATAATAATCTGTTATATTTCAGGTTGTTACCACTGAAAATCCTATCCTGGATTATGAAACTATGCCACATCTTTTTGATCTGCAGATCTATGTTATGGATACAGCTGGAGCAACTGACCTTCAAACACTTACTGTCAAAATAGAAGATGTTAATGAACCCCCTATGTTTCAAGGCAATATGGCAACACAATGTAAGAGGACTGCTTGAAAGGCACTGTGGAGATGAATACTTGAAATAGTGACAAACATTAATTGCTAAAGGTTACAGATAGAGTGTAGAGCAATGCCTGGGGTTGAATATTTGCATTTTAGAGGGTTATTGTTGTTATGAAGTTGTATATTTTCAGTTCATATTTGGTACAATTGATCTCATTCAGGAGGTGAAAGTTTTTTGAGATATGCACCAAAATATGATTCTTCCATTTTCAAACATTGAAAAAGTGAAAAGGAAGAACCATTTGTGCTAAGAAATATTTTATGATTTATTTTTGATTAGCTGAAGTACATCAGTGTTTGGTATTAGAAATTTGAAGTTTGACAGGGACACAGTCACTTAGGGTGCTTACACAAGTTACATTTTTTGTGTGACTGGGCCCCTGGAAGACCTCTACAGCCACAACATAACACAACTGCATGGCTGAAGAGTGCTTTTAAAATGGCCAGTTACATGAAAAATTAAGCCTTGTCAAATCAGCTATTAGCTGAAAGCATTATAGAACAGAACGCCTTCATAGATTCATAGATGCTAGGGTCAGAAGGGACCTCAACAGATCATCGAGTCTGACCCTGCCTTGGCA